TTCTACCACGTTCACCCTCATCTACCCTAGGTAACCCATGTTCTACCACGTTTACCCCCATCTACCCTAGGTAGCCCATGTTCTACCACGTTCACCCTCATCTCTACCCTAGGTAACCCCTGTTCTACCACGTTTACCATCATCTACCCTAGGTAACCCATGTTGTACTACCTTTACCCTCGTCTACCCTAGGTAACCCATGTTCTACCACGTTTACCCCATCAACCCTAATTAACGCATATTCTACCACGTTTACCCCCATCTACCCTAGGTAACCCATGTTTTACCACGTTTACCCGCATCTACCCTTGGTTAGCCATGTTCTACCACGTTTACCCTCATATACCCGAGGTAACTCGTGCTCTACCACGTTTACCCCCATCTACCCTTGTTTAGCCATATTCTACCCCGTTTACCCCCATCTACCCCTGTTTTGCCATGTTCTACCACGTTCACCCTCATCTACCCTAGTTAACCCATGTTCTAACCCGTTTACCCCGATCTTCCCTGGTTTGGCCATGTTCTACCACGTTCACCCTCATCTACCCTTGGTAACCCATGCTCTACACCGTTTACCCCCATCTTCCCTGGTTTGGCAATGTTCTGCCACCTTCACCCTCATCTACCTTAGGTAACCCATGTTCTACCACGTTCATCGCCATCTACGCTTTTTTAGCTATGTTCTACCACGTTCACCTTCATCTACCCTAGTTAACCCATGTTGTAACGTGGTGGCGCTGACTTCAATCGATTCTTTCGGTCTGTGAAGTTCTTAACAGCGCCGCATCGGAGAATGTTTTATAAAAGACGGAAACTTCAAGCATCTATCTTTCTCAATGGATTTATTGGACTTGAGAGCTCGTAAAAACTGAAATACAACGAGCCGAATAGAGCTATTACTATAAATCTATGCTAATTGAAATGTTTTAACTCGAGCACGCGGAGCGCGGATATATATAATTCTAAACGGTACAAGTATTCTTAAACATAACAAATCTGCTTTCGATTAAATGGTGTACATTTCGGGGTCTAGATAAAAGGAACAAACGATATAACATACCTCTTTCTCCGTTCTATTACAATGATATATTCGACGATCCTTCAATCAATTTCCTCTACATGCGCTTGTCACTTACACGTGTGTCAAATGAAAGGTAATGCCGACAGCTAATCGACATGTCACATGAAACAAGGAGGTATTGACGGTCACGCAATCACAACAATGAACGGTATTCGTTACACATGTTCCTACCACGTTTACCCCCATCTACACTTGTTTAGCCATATTCTACAACGTTCACCCTCATCTACCCTATAGAACCCATGTTCTATCCCGTTTACCCCCATCTACCCTTGTTTTCCCAAGTTCTACCACGTTTACCCTCATCTACCCTGGGTAACCCATGTTCTAACACGTTTACCCTCATCTACCCTTGTTTAGCCATGTTCTACCACGTTCACCCTCATCTACCCTAGTTAACCCATGTTCTACCCCGTTTACCCCCATCTACCCTTGTTTAGCCATGTTCTACCGCGTTTACCCTCTTCTATCCTATTTAACCCATATTCTACCACGTTTACCTCCATCTACCCTTGTTTAGCTATGTTCTACCACGTTCACCCTCATCTACCCTAGGTAACCGATGTTCTACTCCGTTTACCCCGATTTACCCTTGTTTAGCCATGTTCTACCACGTTCACCCTCATCTACCCTAGGTAACCCATGTTCTACCACGTTTACTCCCATCTACCCTTGTATAGCATAAATGCATTCGAAAGCGATGCAGTATGGATCCAGCAAACAAAGGACTCTTTCCTTCCGCAATACTTGTATGGACTATGTAAGGCCTGCACGAAAAAACCACGCGAGGAGCGGCGGAAAATGATACCAGTTTGGGTAATTTCATAACGGTCA